ATCCAAACTCATTGGTTCTCACTAGATCGGGTATTCGCGAAGGTGGAATAATTTGTTTCGATCAATGATGAAATCGATGCGACAATATCCAAAACATGAAGCAAGTTACTTGAGAACCCTTCAAAGTTCAAACCAATATCTCACTAAACGATTCATGAGTACAGTTCAATCCATTCAGCTTTAGGATGATGTCATCTTTTTTATTGTGGTCGTTTCATTCGGGTTTCGTTTCCTCCAATTTATGCTTCCATGCTTTCTTATTTTTGTTAGTACTGATCTTCTCAGTTTATGGTCTTCAAGTCTCATTTCCTCTTTCATAAGTTTTAAAGATTAATGATGAATCGCTACCCACGATTCAAGGGTTTGCTTGTAGCTCACAAGCAGGAGAACGACGTTGGTGTAGATAAATCTTTGTTTTATTATTCGATAAACCGAACTAATGTTGTAGTTACAATATATAAGTGACTAATCCTAATACGTAACACTAGCTATAGACGAACCCTACTAATTACCCTAACCCACTCGGCCACCTAACCCAAACCCATGCACTAAGTAACTACTAACTACATAAATCCATTAATAATAACCCATCACACCTACAACCCTACGTAGTAACTACAAGCTATCATAGCACAAGCTCTAACCCTTGGCCCAACATGAGCCCATCATTCCTTCCCCCTTAATTTCAACCTTGTCCCCAAGGTTGATCCAATGGATAGCGACATTGATGACGGGGAAGATCCATGTCGTGTGGAGGTAGACGACGATGGCAATGAGAGCTCTTGCGATGGTGTCGGTTGTGGTTCTTCCTAAACTTCCAGATCCTTGTCCGACCTCCATTCTTCTTACTCTTACGGACTGGGGCATGGGTCGCTACCCGAATCAGTGGGACTCCCCACTCGGCATCGTGGCAATCCGCAAGCACAAAAAATTTGCCCGTGCCATTACTAGTGTTTAGGCTAGGTAGAGAGAGGCATGAGATACCTCCATCATAGTCATCACATTGGCCCCAAGGCGGAGTTTGCCTTATGCTCTTATTTGGATGGACAAGTAGTGGTTGCCGCAGCTCCATCGTCAAGGCATCAAAGTCCAAGTGTTCCACCCGCCGACGCCGCATGGCGGCCACTGGAGCAATCCCGGCGAGCTTCCGATTTGAACAGTAGCTTTGTCTCTCTTGGAATGAACCCCAACCGCGAACTCTTCCTTCTCGCAGATTCGAATCGGCAGCGGCGGATCCCGGACATAAGAGAGCACTAAGCCACATTTGAATAGAATATTAGATACCATAAACAATAATATATAATAATATTGTTTTCATTACAATGCCAATTCTACAAAAAGATCTTTTAATTTAACAAATTCATCAATAATATAATCTCCATCCATACTGATAATATACTCGTTTCCAAAGAAAATAGCTAAGTAATCAACGAGAAATTCATCGTTCATTTTGTTGCACAAATCAATGTTCATGTTCCATTGCTGAAAATATTCTCTCCATGGTAGTTGTTGAAACGGCTAGGTCAACACTAGACAAATCAACCGACAAATCAATTTGTATTGTGTCTCCATCCCTGTTTCCTCCAGCTTCTCTAATATTTTTGCAAGAGAAGAAACTTCATCTTCATCACATGAGTAGTGCATTCTCCAAAGAATGCATCTCATAGCCTTCAAAATCTCGAGGCTAAACTCTTGAGCAAGTTTGTAAATATTTTCTTCATCAAAACACCAGAAAGAACGGTTAGAATCTAGTGCCCCACTCAATTGAGGCAATTTAAATAATAACTCAGCAAGTTTGTAAATATTTTCTTAATCAAAAGAATGGAAAGAAAACCAGCTCATCGGGCTGGAGGAGAAATCCATTTTGGGTCTGCCCGTCTCCTCGTTCTTGTTTTGTTTTGGGGGGATTGGGAATTTTTTTGAATTTTGCAAGGAAGGGTGTGCTTTAGTTTAGAGTTTTTATTTTATTTTAATGAAACTTTACACTTTTAGGTTTTCATTTATTTTTTCAAATAAAATCATTTGGGGTATAGAAAATTTAGTATAAATTTAGAGTGATGGTTTGGATATGTTCATCTGAACCATTTTCCTAGTTACACAAAATTCTATTATCAAATAAAACTAGACACGATTTTAACTAGCACTGGGCCAAATACCTAAATCGAAAAAATTTATAAACACTAAACTAACTCTGGATCCGGATGAGGGCTGGGCCGGGGCCTAGGGTGGGCCGGGGCCTAGGTTGGCCCAGCCCTGGATCCGCCACTGCGAATCGGTATTGCGAGCCTCGTCGAGGTGGTGACCACCACGACGCACTGTTTCTTTCCTATCGCTTCCATATCGTTGGGTGAGAGCCTCGCATAGGTGATAATCACCCTTGCGCACTGTTTCCTTCCTGCCAATCTTGTTGACGGAGATATCAGTACCCTCCGCCCCCTTGTTTCATTGGCGTCAAAGCAGACCACGTCATCGTCGCTTCGCTTTCCATCATTGATGGTTGCGCAATTTCGGCTAGATTCCGACCTTCCTTGATTTGTTCCCATTGCTAGCGTAGTTCATAGCTTCTTTTTAAGCCGCCTCGCACGTTCTCCCACAAATGCTCGGCTCTCCACCTCAAATTAACCAGGCTCTTATACTAATTTGATGAATCATTACGTACCCACGATTCAAGGGTTTGCTTGAAGCTTACAAGCAGGAGAACGACGTTGGTGTCGATATACTTTTGTTTATTATTTGATAAACCAGGCTAATAGGTGAATAATCCTAATATGTAACCCTAGCTATAGCCGAATTACCTTGGACCACTCGGCCACCTAACCCAAGCCAATGCACTAAGTACCTACTAACTACGTAAATCCATTAACAATGACTCATCACACCTACAACACTACGTACTAAGTACAAGCTACCAAAGCACAAGCTCTAACCCTTGGCCCTACATGGATTTTTCCATAAATAGCACTATTTAAAAAATATTCCAAAAATAGCACCTTGTCCCTAAAAATTCCAAAATAGCATCCTTTTTCGAAAACCGCAGGGTGGGGGCGCGGTTTTCGACTAAAACCTCACGGGTAGGGGGCGGTTTGCTGACCGCGTGGGGCCGGAGCGGTTTGGGTGCAAACCGCACCCCCAGAGGCGGTTTGTAATAATTTTTTTTCTTCAAATAATCACCATAAATGGTATTGGCATAACTGGTTCAGTGGGGTGGTGGTTCGAACCCTGATAATATAAATAGTTAACTAAATTTAACATAACATCTTCACAACCAAACTACAAATATTTTGTTGAGACAATTACATATTGACAAAGTTTTAGTCTTTGAACGCTAACAATCCTCAATAACTTTGAACAACCATAACTTTGTGCTCCAAAATCCGAACGTCATGAATTTTTTCTTTCATTTCGCATAACTATTGAAGGACTACAATTTTTACTAGGAATAAATTTGTAAGACATGAATTATTATTGGATATACAGGGTTTTGGGAATAACGTTACCTTCCCTTTTCACAAATCCAAGTACATTCCGAATTTATGTCTATGATAAAAGTTGTAGTCCTTAAAAAGTTATGCGAAATGAAAAAAAAAATTCATGACGTGCGGATTTTGGAGCACAAAGTTATGGCCTCCCTAAGTTTGACGAAATCGAAAAAAGGCTCGTTCTTGGTAGCAAATGACGTTTTTTCGAGACGAAGGTGGGATTACGGCAGTTTGCAGCTTGCAAGATCACGAAAAGTTATGCGGATTCAAAAAAAAAACATTCGCTGCAATCGGATACCTGAGTGCAAAGTTACGTTCGTTTGAAGTTTCGGCCGAGGTTAGGAGTTCGAATTTTTTACCAAACTGCTGGGTTGGGCAGCGATTTTGGACCAAACCGCCCCCATCCCAAGCGATTTTCAAAACCGCCCCGTAACCATGCGGTTTTCATCGAAAATCGCGCCTCCACCTAGCGGTTTTCGTGTAAACCGCAAGGTGGGGAGGCGGTTTTCGAGAAAGGCTGCTATTTTTGGAATTTTCGGGACCGAGTGCTATTTTTGAGGAAAAAAAATTTAAACTGTGCTATTTGTGGAAAAAAATCCCTACATGAGCTCATTAATTAAGAACCTATATAAAAACATTGATATCGTACATTTCAAGAAAAACAAACAAATAGAACAATAAAAATGAATACTTGAAAATAAAATAAAAAAGGGTCTGGCTTGATTGCAGATTAGTAAGTAGAACTCTTAACCAATGTATGGTGAAGTCAGTCTTCAAGAAGACGCGATTAATCGCTTGCCTAGGCGCGTTTAATAGCTAGGCTGGAGGAAATCGCCCCGACTAGCTCTGGGAGATTGATATGGGCGTGCAAAACGATTAATCTCCATGAAAAACGCCTAAGCGACGCCTAGGCGCTCGAAGGCGCGTTTCCACTCTGGTGGGCGATGCCCACAACTATCTAATAAAGGGGGAAAGTGTAGTCGGTTTTGTGGAAACCCCAAACCCTATTATATTTCTCATTTCCATTCGACCAACCGCTCTCCCTCATCGATCCAACAGCGAGATCCCTCCTCTACAGCCAACTGTCATTGTGATTCTCTCCGGCCAACTGTCGCCGCCATCCCCTCCATCCAGTCGTCGTCCTCTCAATCCAGCTGTCATCGTCCTCTCTAGCCAACCATCGCCATCATCTGCTCCAACCAACCAGAGTCGTCGTCCTCTGCAGACAACCGCCGTCGTCATCCTCCACACTCCACAACCATCGTTGCTAGTCATGTGAGACTTCTTTGTGGATTGGGATTTTCATGGTTGGCGACTTGAGATGTTTGGGATTGTGGAAAAGGGTTGTATGTGTATATGAATGGATATAGCGATTTGGGTTTTTGTGGAATATGGCTTATCCATCATTTTTTTTTTTCAACGTCTAATCTCGCCTAGGCGATGACTAATCGGCTTGGGCGCTGGATGGTGCCTTCTCGCCTAAATAGCGCCCAACGTCTTCTTGAACACTGGGTGAAGTAAATGTGATTAGTGTTTTTATTGCATGTCAAATGGTTTATATTTTGGAATGACTGGAATACAATAATTGATTGTTCAATTTCTACCCTCTCCTTGCGCAACAAACGTCAAACACTACTGCAATATACATCAAGCATCGAAGAGCACAAGATAAAAGAAACACCCCCTCCACCGACGAACATCCCAACGTTATGTCTACGATATCAAGTCGACCAGCATAAGAAATTGGATGAAGAAACTTGGTGAATTTCGGCCCCCTTCCACTGCTTCAGACCCACTATCCTTTTCATCCAAACAATAACAACAGAATCAGACACCACCATATTCTCTGCTCAATTGCCTCCATTATCATTGTCAGATACGGTGCTTTTAGTAGCACACTCACGGTATCAAAATTTGAATATCGACAAAGGTTTATTCTTTATATTTTGGTGAAACTGGAAAAACAGAACAACTGAATTTGGTAACACCCTACTACTTTCTCCTAAACACCCACAGGTCTAAGTCTGTTCTAGGAGATCAACCTCCCTACTAGTTGCCAGCGGGGAAGCAAAGCAGTGTCATCCACTCAACGTCTTCCATTCTCGACCACTACCACTGGCTAAAGCAGTTCAACAAACTACACTACAACATATACAACACTAAACATCGGGATTCAGGATTTCAGCTTAACAGTTATTACATTATATTACTAACCAGAATGCAAAACTTGCAGCACCTCACCACATGTTAACACTGACTGCAATATCACAAGCATAAATTTTTCACTGTCAATAAAAAGAGTGCTATGCTAACCTTCATCTTTCAGCATCACAAAGGCACTCTATCACTTTTCAAAAACGCATGTCTCCCTCAATCGTCATCATCAGAGCTGCCTTCCTCGCTGCTGGTGTAATCACTGCTATCCTCATCATGATCCTCAATATCAATCTGGACATGTTTAACTTGTATGGTCTCAGGCTGTTTAGGCAGCCCTCGAGCAGGACCCACATGTTGTTCCAGTATCCTTGGCATATGAATAGAATCCAATGGCGGCAATGGGTCCCCACGCTTCCATCCTGGTGGCGGCAGAGGCAAATCTTTAGGCAACTCCACAGCCATCCCTGGCTTCCATCCTGATGGAACTGTGAGCAACCCAGCCAGATTGGCGAAATCCGTCTGCGCTGGCGGAGGTGGGGGAGGAGGCTCGATGATCGCCTCCACAGCCTTCTCCTTAACTTCAGCTTTCGGTAGGCCGACGTCAAGGTCGGCAAAATTATACAGCTGAGAAGCACGCATCTGCTCGTCCTGTGGAGCAGGCGGTAAAGCCCCACGGAGCGGTGCCTGACCAGCGCCGAATTCCGGCGGCGCGAACGTCGTGTAGCTGATGCGGTGAGCGTAGGACAAGATATCGGTCAATTTGAGCTGAGATGCAACAGTTGTATTACCTGCCTCGTTTTCCTCCCCGTTCTCCGGCAGCTTGGCCCTCTTGGTGCGGCGGTAGTCTGCGTAATCATCGACTAGAATGTCGAGAACTCGCTCCGCTTCCCGGAGCTTATTCGCGAAGCTGAGAAGCTGAGAATCCCGCGATTTGATCTCCCTGGCAAGCCTCTGCTTCGCATCTTGTAGGTCGAGGATTTGCTGGAGCTCAACGACGGCTTCAAAAAGCTGAGCCTGGAGAGAATTGAAGAGCGTAAGGATCTCGTTGACGGAGGAAGGGGCGGATTCGAGCGGAGGCGGAGGCGTGGAGTGCGACTGCGAGGCCAGGAACGTCGGGAAGGTGCCGCGGAAGGCGGTGAGCCAGTGAGAGCGATTGGGAGAGACATCGAAGAGCTTGGAGACTAAAGAGGCCATCTGAAGGAGCAGAGATTGAGCTCTGGGGAGAGGAGGGAGGAGAGAGAGGAGAGCGGAAGAGGAGGTCTTCGTGGCGGCGGAGGGGGCATTTGAAGAAGATGGGTGGTGGTGGGATTGGGATGCAACGGAGGAGGAGGAGGAGGGGAATTTGGGCGGAGTAGGATTCTGTAGTGACGGCGAATTAGGGTTTGTGAGGCCAAGCCTCGCCGGCGATTGCACGATTTGGTGATGCAGCATTCTTTTCTTTCCCTCTCTTGGTCCGGTCCACCTTGCTCTTCTTTCTCTTCACCCGCTTCTTCGTTTCAGATGAAAACTAGAATGGGCCCCGTTACCATCGGCCGGGTGATTTTTATTCTCCTAGTTTAGTTTTGACGGGGCTTGGATGCCACTAGACTTTTAACTTTTCGAATTGGAATGGATGACGGATTTTAGTGAAAGGCGTATATAGGGCACCATATAGCATTGAAGTGGATTATATTCAAATGGTTACCAACTTACTATTATAATTAGCAAATCAAATAAGTTTAAAATTTATTAATTATGGAATACTTATACAATATCATAACTAAACCGTCCAAACTAATATAACAATCAAATTAAATTTTAATTAGTTCGGTTAATCAAAATAACTAATATAACATCGTATTATCATTAAGTGACAAAAATTTTCAGTTAGTGCATCAATACATAACAATCAACACATAATTATAGTTAACCCTTAACATAAATACATGTAACAAATACAAATTATCTTGCATTGGACTCTTTATTGTTTATGCTAAGTTTTGAGTATGTATATATAATACATATTAGATATATGGTTAATTACTTAATTGGTTAATTTGGTTTCATTGGTTAGCAGTGTCTTGTACCAAACCAAACCACCTAAACCAAACAAGCTAAAAAATTTAACCAAACCAACCCAAACTAATTATCCAAATTAACCAAACCAAATTATCCAAATACTACCGGTTAAAATGGTTGCCATGGTAACTACACCGTTTGAACACCCCTAGATTCAATGGTGCTTGGTCTAAAATTCTGTCAACCAACATTGTCAAATCTGTTTATGCCGTGTTGGTTTTTCAAATAAAATGGTTTGATCGCTTGTTCAATTGACTTGTGCCGGTTTATATCGGTTTTAGCAATATATGTACAAGTATGATATATCAAATGAATTTAATCATATTTGAAGAAAATTTAGTTACCATCCATATCCACATTTAAATTAAATACTTGTTTCAAATAAAATAACAACCAATCATATTTAAATATAATATTTAACATCAATACCTAAACATTTATATATGAATCCGAAACGTTTAAATATAACATATAACATTGAACCTAAGGCATGCAGTTTGGTCGTGCTGTAGCCTTTGCAAAAAGCATCTTCTGGCTGCAGCTTTTAGAAAAGTACTTTTCAAAAAAATCAGTTGAGCGTTTGGGTGAAAAACTATTAGAAGTGCTTTTTAATATGAGAGGTTGTGTAAAATGACTATAAACTATGAGTAAAAATTCTAAACAATAAAAAATAGTTAAAATGGATCTTGTTAGATTTCTTTTATACTAAATAATATGATTTTATAATCTATTTTATTTTTAAAATGATATAAATAAAATTGAATTTTCGAAAATAAAGTTAAAATAGGGTAAGGATAATCTTATTTAATATAAAAAAATCTAACAAGATCCATTAAGACTACTTTTTATTGTTTATAATGTTTATTCATATTTTATATTATAAGTTTTTGGTGAATTCCACTAGGAATCCCAAACTATTCTAAAGTGTCATTTGTGTACTAAGTTATTCAATATGACAAATATGGCACAAACTAATGAATGGTACGCCAACAATGAGGATATCTGGGAAATAAGAATTGGCTAACTTTGTGCCAGCAGTCGCTGTAATACAAACGAGTTTTTTGGGTCTACTATCGGGTGGCATCAGGGAGACCCTCTGTCCCCCTTGCTATTTGTTTTGTGTACTGAAGATTTTGTTGTGTTATTACAACATGCAGTAATTGATGGCCAATTAGTAGTAGTGAAGGTGAGTCCACGAAGCACTAGTGCTTCACACCTGTTCTTCGCAGATGATTCTTATATGTTCCTTAGGAGATCGAGATATGAGTGTGAGGATTTGGTTCATGTATTGTAGGAGTACCAGTCTTTAAGTGGGCAAAAGGTGAATATGGATATGTCGGTTGTATGTTTTAGCAGGAATATTGAGCCTTTCGCGTGTTAGGAGATGGTGTAGTTCCTAGGAGTGGGAGTGGTGGGTGTTCCACATTAATGTTTAGAAATGTCTACTCTAGTGCATCGATCCAAAATAGATACATTCTGGTAGTTGGAAGAGAAGCTTCTGAATAAACTTAAAGGCTGGAAGCAGAGACATCTTTCCTATGCAACCAAGGAAACCTTACTATAGGCAGTTTGCATCGACATTGCCTGTACATGTCATGTCATTTTTTTTTGTTACCTCTTACGCTCTATCGTAAGTTGGATAGGCATATAGCTCACTTTTGGTGGGGATTTATTGTGGAAGGTGATAAGGCTCATTGGGTATCCTTGAGAAATTTATGTCTAGAGTAAGTTTGATGGTGGACGAGGATTTTTACAGTTTTAGGAGTTTAACCAAGTGTTTCTTGCAAAGGTCGCTTGTTGAATAATGACTGAGTTGGAATCGTTGCTTCCCCGGGTATTGAAAGGGAAGTATTTCCCTCGAAATCATATTCTGCAAGCTAAAGGGGGAGCTCGTTCGTCATGGGGTTGGTAAAGTATTTTGTATGGTAATGTCCTACTTGCAAAATGATTGCTACGGCAAGTGGGAATGAGATAAGAGGTGCGAATTCTACAAGATTATTGGATCTTGGAATTTGATCCGATGGGGTGCCTTTGGTGGTGGATGCGTCGCTGCAGATTGTGGATAAAGTGGAGAGATTAATTTTTTATGGTACAGGAACTTGGTGTTTCGATTGTTTGAGACAATGTTTCCCTGGGGGAATCGTTAGATTTATTGAGACTGTTTCCCTCAGAACCGACTGATATGGCTGGGGAATAGTTAGCAGTATTCTTGGTAAAATTAGGGTATCCATTGGCTATGCAAATTAATCAAAGTCGATAAGGATGGAAAGTTGATGTCTCTTTCGATGATATGACTTTCTGGAAAAGTTGTGCCATGATCTTATCAATGACTGCTTCTGCATCACCGTAAAATGCCACCTCGGAGAGACCCTTCTAAGATAACCACTAGATCGCATTGTGAAACATCATCAATTCCATGAGGAAAGGATAAGCAAAATTCATATACTGAAACCCCTGGACAAAAATCGCACTCCCCACCCTATCCTGCACCATTAACCCTCCCGATGCATGCAAGCCCACCCTCAATGCTCCATCAACAAAGCATACTAAGGCTGGCCCATGCCCACTCTCCCGCACCACTTATTGTACCCTCATCGCTGCCTTGTCCGGCTCTGCGTTCACTAGAATGCCTTGCCATTCCTCTACTTGAACTTGGTACTGTCTAAGCAAAAACAGGAAAGCCATATTGAATGTGATCAAACACCACCCAATTATTAGACTTCCATATTCTCCACAACAATGCTAGCAATCTCATAACCCGCTCCAGAGATGCATCTCGCTCCACCATCTATCAAAAAACTAGTGCCAGACCGTGAACTGAAAGCCCAGACCGTGAAGTCGTCATTTCACTGTCTAAGACCGTGAACTGAAGCACCCGACCGTGAATTGAAGCCAGATTGTTAACTGAGCGTCAGAGCCCTATCTGGGTATAAAATGGGTTTTTAGCTGAAGGAAAAGGGGAGGCTTGAGTTGGGTTTTAATTTTCAGAATAAAGGGAGTTTTCTTGTGAGAGATTAGGGTTTTCCTCTTCCCATTCTAGAGAGAGACATGGCCATTCAAAGGAGGAAGAAGGAGATTGGGATCAAAAGCTAGAGGATTGAAGATCTCTTCTTCTCAAGGGAGATTCAAGCAAGAAGGAAGAAAGATTTTCATCTCTCCATGGCTCTTTCTCTGCTTTTTGTTGCTTTCCTTTGCCTAGCTATGGATTAGCCTTCCTACTCACTTGGGTATTGTGAATCGTAGTCTAGATGTATGTTAGGATGTAATAACTTGATTCTATTGTGTTGGTTGTGTGTTCTATATAATATTTGAGGTATTTTTCTTGAATGATTGAGTGTGCTAGTTTTAACTCATTATTGGGTCATTTTGACCTAGGTGGAGAGAATCACCTTGTTGAAAGAGGCTTTGAGAAGCTTGATTTTTGGCCAATTTGTGTCACCCACCTAGACAATTGAGGACAAACCTTAAATTAATTATGACTAGTGAGTATTGCTTGCATTATCTCTTTGTTGTGTCAAAATTAGCCTAGTGGGTAGAATCCCCTTTTGGCCCATAGGGAGCTTGACCTCCTAGCCTCTAGGGTAACCCTTTCTAGGTTTATCTAGGTCCAAAACCTCAGGTATCGGAGTAGTACCATGATTCTAGCGTGATTGGTCTATCCGTCGTGTGGGTTAAAATCCGAGGGCTTGGATTCGCAATACTTAGTCGACCGGTTAGAGGGGTTAGATCGTCTAGCTCTAGCCTATTGTTGTCACCTTACCCGAAAGGTTAAGAGAGTTAGTCCACTAACTTAATGCAACAATCCTAAATTGGTCGACTAAAAGATTTAGGATTTTCTTGGTTGATCGGTTAAGAGAGCTAGGTTTCCTAGCTTTTTGTCACAATCCTTAATCGATCGACTAGGAATGTTTATCTCTAGCCAGTTGCATCCGCCTCACGGTATAAGAACACATCCTTCACACTAGAGTTTAGTTCATTGCTTCTTAATATGAGACTAGGAGCAATACCTAGGTGAAGTCCTCTCAAGTAGAATTCTCCTCGATTTACTTTCCTTGTTTATTTACTTTGTAGTTTTCTTAGATTTAAACCCAAAATCGTTTAGCTAGATAACAACCTAAGCGATTGAAGTAGGGGAACATGGACCGACCCGAGTTTGACGATTAAATACGTGCCCTATACTGCACCCGGCTAGAGTTTAAAAACTTGGGCTCTAGTGACTCTAGTCGGGGTTAATTCGCGGTGTATCCGTGGCGAGTCACCAGGCAAAACAATCTAAATGACCACTTGGTGGCTAGCCAGGCTCTTTTGTTTCTTGCAGCTTTGTGTTGGTTTTTATTTAAGACAATGGCTATTATTTTGGTTGTAATCTTTTGGTATCTATGAGTTCTTGGTCAAACAAGTGAGCTATTGGTAAAATAAAATATTTTTATTGCTATTTACATTATTTAGGTGAACAGAATTTCAGACAGAATGCCATAAAATTCGCTTCAAATGATACGTGGTGCCCTATTTGTTTTTCAATGCTACCCGTTCCCCAATTTGAGAAGTT